GCTGGCACCTGGGGGCTGCGCTGGGCACACTGAGCTCCGAGGGCCTCAGTCTCAGCAGACACACAACATATTGGGGTGTCACACCTCCAGGGGTGACCTTTAGGGAAAGCGTTGTCGGGCTGGGGCAGGAGGGAGACGCAGCTCTGGCCGCTCACCGAGCACCGCTCCCCCGCCCCCCCTCCAGGGTCCAGAAACACGCCTCTTCTCCAGTAGGAGGAGTCGGGCGCAGGCTGGGCAGCTGAGTGCCCCTGCGCTGGGCCTGGCTCACTGCCCACCCACTACCCCAGCGCCCACCTCAGCCTGTGGCTTCCTTCCCCTGCCACACTCTGGTGAGGCTGAATAGCTTTTTTGCTCCACCTTAAAGCGTCACTTATTCCACAGAAAGAAAAGGGGTTTCGGGCCAGCCCTTCCCACGGGTCAGTCTGGGCCTTGCACGGCCCCGCCCCAGCTGGACGCCCCAGCTGGACGTGACTGAGTGCTGGCCGCAGCCCTGACTGCAGCACACCCGTGTGCCGGTGACTGAGAGCTCGCCCGTCTCTGCGCTGTAACAGGACCCTCTGTGCCCAGGGCACGTGGGAGCCCGCCGCGGTTGCCAGTCCCGGCAGCGAGTGGCACCGTCAAATTCTCTGCCAGCCGCTTACAGCGCCCAGGCCACGCCACTGCCCACTGGCTCCCGACTCCCCACAGGCTGCTGCCAGCCGCAGGCCTTGCCTCGCTGGTCTCCGGTTACTCACCCAGCCACAGCGACCAGTATCAGGAACAAGGGTTGGCGCTGGGTGCTGTGGGGGCCGCCGGGGTGAAAAGCACATTTGCAGCTCGTGCAGAGAAGTGCCAGCTTGGGGGGCACTGTATGGCCCTTTCCACAGTCAGGGGGCGCATCACCCCCAGGAGCCAGGAGAGAGGAGACTCCGTGGTGAACAGGCAGGCTGCGGCAGCAGAAACGGGGTACACAGGGTTGCACCCCAAACAGAAGGGACGAGCGGCAGGACGCAGGGGCAGAGGCAGGAGCCCTCCAGCAAGAGGAAGGAGGGACCCCGCCGGGGTCGACAGACTGAGCCCCAAAAAGTTCCTGCACCCAACTATTTTAAGCTTCTACGCCAAACACGAGTCGTCTGGGATCTATGGTTTAACCTGGGCAAAAACGTGAGGGCACTTACCTTCAGTTGGAAATTTCTTGGCTCGTTCCTCAAAGAACCATTCTCCGGATTTTATTTTTACGTTTCTGAAAACAAGCAGAGAGGAAGCCTCAGAGCGAGGAGGGCTCGGCGGCACCGCAGACAGGCTCATGGCTGTGGCCGGCCAGCTCTCCGCAGTGCAGATTTCACAGGGGCTGAGAGCCTCAGAAAGGCAGAGGACTCATATCCATTTAGGATGTGGAAAGGTAAACACACACAGATTTATATATTGCTCACACCCTCCAAATAGCATGCCATGAAATGTGCCCATTCCATGGCTACATAAGAGCCAAGGATTTTTTTGTTTTTTTCCCCCCGCATATAAAAAGTGAGGTGCAGGCCAGAGGTGCAGGGAATGAGAGGTGTCACCAGAGGCAGAGTGGGGAGAAGGACAGGCAGAGCCACTGAAATCCACTGCTGAGGGGCGCAGGGGCAGGGTCCAGAGAGGTCTGCTGGCCCTGTGGCTCACCCCCTGGCCGGGGATCGGACTTAGGTCGTGGCAGTGACAGTGCTGAGCTGAGACTGAACCCCCAGGCCACCAAGGAGGTCCAGCCAAGGAATTTTTTTTTAAGAAAAAGATAAACTTTGACATATGGGCAAATTCTCTCCTATAAAGTTTTTACTCAAATAAGTCCACCACTGGGTTGTTTCAGGCTCGGTCTGAGCCCAGTGGAGTTTTTAAAGTCAGTGCTGTCAATACCAGTAAATTCACAAATCTATGGCAATGCACACGTTCTTCTTTCAAGGAAATTCTGTCTTTCTCCCTGGTGTCCCAGTGGCCTGGGTGACTTCCTCCTCTCCCCCTAGCTGGGGACTGCCTTATTCTCCAGTTAGCATGTAAGTAAATGTCCATGCCCGGGCTTAGGCAGCGAAAGGGAAAACACTAGATGGTCATAGAGGACTCCCACCCCAGTCTCTCCCACTCAGAACCAAAACCAGCTAAACTATTCAACAGTTCCCCGAAGAGCAGCAGCACCGTGAAGCCAGAGACTCCAGGGCCTGGTCTGCTGCACCGACACCTTCCGCAGGGCCCCGCGTCTCAACAGGGGCTCCCCTGCCCTCAGCCCCTCGGCCTCCTCACCCCTGCCCGGATGGGGCAGTGTGGGGAGCATCACGGTGGGGAAGTCGCACCCTGTGAGGAGCCAGCTGCCCGCGCCATCCCCGAAGCTGCCCCTCCGGCCCGCGCCATCCCCGAAGCTGCCCCTCCGGTCTCCACTGCAGGACCAGACCTGACCAGCGGAGTCAGTGACACAGCAGGGCGCCTGCAGCCCAGGCTGGAACCACAGGCCTCTGCTGCGGGCGCCCTCACTTCCCCGGCTCCTTCCAGCCACGGTGACCGCCCGGCTAATCTGTCACTCTCCAGCCCGGTCCCCTTGTGACCACTGATGGCCGGAGACGGGTGCTGGGCACAGGGACCACCTCAGGGTGGACAAGGCTGAGCCGAGGGCCCAGCAGCAGCAGCACCTTGACTCACCAGCGCTGCTGCCTCAGCCGGCCAAGGAAGAGAGCACGCGGACAGGGAGATGGAAAACGAGGGGGTCCTGCTGGTGGGGACAGGAGAGGTGGCCTCGAAGGTCCCCCCCGGGGTACACCAGCATGCCAGTTCTCACGAGGCACTCCCATCTGCGACTGGAGACAGGGGCAGACCAGAGCGTTTGCATTTGGGTTGTTTCATCTGAGACCTGGATTTGATTTGGAGTTCTCAAAACATCTCTGGCAGGATCAGCCACTTCTAATGCAATGATTCCCTCATCTCTGTTGTCACTGCCTAGGAATGTTAAGGCCCCCTGTGCCCACCAAGCCCACATTCTAAAAGGAGGCCCACTTGTGGCCTTTAGGGTCCAGATAAAGGTGGGCAGCTGCAGGCCTGCTGTGCCCTGTGGGGCCTCACGGGGCCAGCGCAAGGCAGCCTGTTCCCAGTACCAAAGGCAGGATTATGAGTATGTCTTCCTGCGTGACTAAATTAGAAACGGACTGTGAAAGCTTCTTGGAAAGTTTCTGAGCTCAACAATAGGTTAGTGCTTTGATATTTTCAGGTAGCTCGAGATGTGCTCCTTTCAACAGTTTTCCGGCAATGGACAGCTACATCTCAAAGAGCTGACGCCTGGGAGGCAGAGTGCAGAAAATAAAGCCAGCAGACTTGAGTTCACTTCCTGCACTCGCCCTGCGTGAGGACGCAGGGAGCGTGAGCCCAAGACACAAGCACAGACGGCGCTTACCTACTGGCGTCAGGGCTCCGCAGCGGCACACGGGTCTAGTCTCGGGCTATGACCGCTGCGGCCTGAGTCCACCCCCCGCCAGGGCCCAGCGGACCCCTCCTGTCTCTCCGCTGCCACCCTCAGCAGTGGGTTTCAGTGGATCTGCCTGTCCTGCTCCCCACTCTGTCTCTGGTGTACATGCATCCCTAGCCTAGACCCAGCTCTTCCATGCAAAAGTAAAATAAAGTCTTTCAAATAAATAAACTTCTGGAGTTGCCAGCATCCCCGTTCGTAGCCTTGAACTGTGCCAATGTCATCATTTCATCCACAAAAGGGAAATAACTGTTGAACATCACGCTGCAAACTCTAGGATACACTGTCCGATCGCATCGTGCACAGGCCCCCAGGTCAGAAAGGTGGTTGGGGCTCATCGCCACCACCACGCCCTGAGCCGCACAGGCCTATCGGAACGCGCTTTCCCTTTGCATCCAAATGATCACACGTAAGGGCTCAGGCCGTTGCATCCATGCTTTCTGCTTCGGGAGAAGCCAGCTGAGCTGCGTGACCTGTGTCCCCCATTCAGCAGACAAGTGGTGGAACGCCGGCGGCAGAGTGGGGCCTTGCAGGCGCCTCCTCAAGCCCACCGCCAGCCTGTCGGCTCCCACCAGCGCCCACAGCCAGGAAGCCTGGAGACAGCCCTGGGTGCATCAGACAACAAGCCATAGAAACTCCAAACAAGAAGCTGAATACCGAGAAACAGATCAGCCTAACGTGTCTGTGGCGGCCTGTCCCACCAGGGGGACAGTGGCTGCAGAAATAATCCTTGAAGGCCGACAGCCGAAACAGTGTTCTTTACTTCAAGTCATCTTGTCTCTAAGATGTGCTTTAGTGGCAACGCGAACAGTGAGGTTTTCCCAGCTAACTCAGTTGATCTGATTTCCACGTCTGGCAAGAATGATTGTTGTGATTAAACTCTAGGTAACTAGGAGGGAGCCGGAATCAAGATGAAGAAACGGCTTCTCGGGCTGCTGCCCCCGCTTCATGGCATTGCCAAGCCTGGGACCCGACCTCCGAGAGCGGGGGTCCCCTCCTGGCGCAGTCCCTGCTGTTTTCATCCTGAGTCCTGGCAGGGTGGACGAGCCTGGTCCAGAGAGGACAGTGCATCAGTGAGCAGCCTGGCAACTGCAGGGAGCGCGAGGGGGGCCCTTGCACTGAAGGCGGGGTCCCGACTCAGCCAGGCTGAAACTGCAGTGGGAGACGGCTGGTGTGGAAGGCGCCAGGTGACCTGCCGGCCCACGGCCATTTCAGGTTATTGCAGTGACGCACCCCAGGCGCTGAGCAGGCCCAAGACAGGCCCGTGGGCGTAAGTCTGTGGCCTGCTGCTGCGTGACATCAGGTAACTAGTCAATGAGAGTGAGAGAATCCGACTGCAGGCTGCAGACAGCTTCACAGTGCTGTGCTTTAACCCACTTCACCACCATCTTTCAGAAAAGAAAAGAAACAAAACCTAAGATCTCTTTCCTGTGAAAGCCTTTGTTCCTGCCATCCCCTGGACTTAGGATGCCAGCTCTTGACCTGGGTCTTCTTATATTGCAGATTTCAAGTTGGAATCTTCCATTTTCTGATTCTCTTTCTCATAACTTCATATATAATTTTTTTCTTTTTTGGCTCAACATTCCACTTTCCATCTATAGGAGCAATTTGCTATTTTTTTAATAGCACCTTTCTCAAATAAAACTCATGAATTTAAAAAAGAAAGAAAGAAAGAAAAAGAATCTCCTACTGCAGCGGGACCTCGTGTTAAGGCTTCGGCCACGGAAGTCAGGTCAGCCGCTGAGCCGTGCCCGGCCCGCCCGTGGGGCCTCGCGAGGGCAAAGCAGGGACAGGGAGCACGCCTCCCGGCCAGCAAACTCCCCCGTGTCTCCTGAGGCAAGAGAGAGCTCTGATGAGGAGGGTCAGAGAGCAGATAGAGGGCCTCCTCTGTCTGTGCCCCAGGGCCCGGGAAGCTTCGGGGAGCAGTCAGTCCCCAGAGCAGCTCAGACCCGTCTCCAAGAGAGGGAAACAGAAAGCATCTTGAAAGCCAGGCTGGCGCAAGACACGGCACCAGGAGGAGGGACACTGGGGTGACAGGCGGCCCCAGAGCCAGGGAGAGCCGAGGGTCTGGGAGCGGCCAGCGGGGCCGGCCGCAGGCCCAGCGAGCCCCTTCCCGGCACGTGAAGGGGAAAGCACGGGCGTTGACTGTTGGGGAGAAGATGGCGCCAGTGGCGGTGGAGAATAAGGTCATCAAAAGCGACCCCCAAAGAGGCCCGGGCGAGGGGCATCGCGGGGAGTGAGATAACCGGACTTGACTGCCCAGGTGGCTCCACTGGGAAGAGCAGACGCCGCCAGCGCGGCTCGGGACGCCACTGTCCGCGGTAACGATGACAATGCTGGCAGCAGGTGTGACAGCGTGGGGCGGCGGGGCCTGCGCTGCCGGAGCCCCGCGGGGACCCTGGGAGACTCAGCACAGACACTGGGGTCGAGAAGCCTTGAGAGCAGGGTCTCGGGGCGCCGAGCACACCCCTGCATGCAGCAGCTCTGTTCACGGCAGCTGGGGGGTTGGGGGTGCAGCCAAGTGGCCTGGAGGAGGTGGATGAGCCAATGGGGTGGACCGGGGCCAGCATCAGGTCCCCCTTCTGTTGACTTTTTTAAAAGATTTGTGCATTCAGAACTGGGGTACAGGCCAGAGGCACAGGTGCAGTGAGAGGCTTCACCAGAGACAGAGCGGGGAGCAGAACAGGCAGATGGACGAAGTCCACCGCTGAGGGGAGCAGCGGGCGGGTCAGGAGAGGTCTGCGGCGCCCTGTGGGTCACCTCGGGGCAGGCGGGGATCGAACTCATGCAGAAGTGGCTTTAGCTTCTCAGTGCTGCGCTTTAACCCGCTGCGCCACCAGGAGGGCCCCCCCTTCTGTTGATGTTAAAAGCCCGTCTCTCCTTCTGCGCCCACCATGGGTCACTGTGGAAGCACCGGCTTCAAGATGAGCAAGAAGCGGGAGAGGACAATGGCGTGGGGACCCCGTACCAGTCCCCAGCTCGTCAGGAGCTGCAGCCGGTGCTGTGGTAACACGTCTTTTCTTCATTTTTGGCCCCAAAATGGGTGGCAGCATGGTGGACACCCCTGGGTGAGAGCAGGCTCCCGGGGGCGGAGCCGGGCGAGGCCATGTCGTAAGTTACTCAGCTCTCCCCGCCTGGTTTCCGAGTCAGCTGACTCATAGTTGAAAACATCCTTATTTCAAAATAAGGAAGTTGGGGTTTGGGAAACCATGTGGGGTGCGTGGAGGGTCGAGTTACAGTGCAGGGCACGGTGCCCTCTGGGTGGAGATTTTGACAGGTTGCCTCAGCCTGGCCCTCTGGTCTTGCCTTTCGGTTTATTTAGGGTTCAAATGTGTGTGGTGGGTTGGAGAGGAGCAGGAAGACCCAAGGACTGCCATCCTTTGGGTGGGGACTAGAGTCGCAAAAGTGCAGGGCTGCAGGATGCAAGCGAGGGAGAGTGAGGCTGGGGGCTGGAGGCACTGGGGGGCGGGCGGGCAGAACTCAGAGAGCTGGGCAGAGCTGGGCAGAGCTCGGAGAGCTGGTCCGACAAACTCCCCTTTCTTGCATTCAAATGCATTAAGCTGTGCAAAGGGACAGAACTTGGAGCTTAATGGCGAGGAGTCTGGCAAACCCAGTCCATGGATTTAAGGTAAGGAGAAGCCACAGCATGAGTGCGAGCACCCCCATGGCCCCCACCCAGTGCGAGCACCCCCACGTCCCCACCCAGTGCGAGCACCCCCACGCCCCCACCCAGTGCGAGCACCCCCATGGCCCCCACCCAGCGCGAGCAGTCCCACGCCCCCCCCCAGTGCGAGCACCCCCACACCCCCCACCCAGTGCGAGCACCCCCATGGCCCCCACCCAGTGCGAGCACCCCCACGCCCCCCACCCAGTGCGAGCACCCCCATGGCCCCCACCCAGCGCGAGCACCCCCACGCCCCACCCAGCGCGAGCACCCCCACCCCCCCACCCCACAGCAGTGTTTAGAAGCCGTGTTCCAATCGCCAAGTTTCCGGTCACCCTCTGAGATTCAGAGTGGACAAATGTTTCGCCTTCTAGGGTTGTTCACCGTGTCCTGAGGACCCCTGCACCCACACAAAGGAACCCGCCACCGGCCTGGTCTTGCTTTGAACAGTGGGAACGCGAGACAAATAGGTTTTTTCCTCACTTTCAATACGGCTGTGCAAAAATACCAGTTCGGTGTTCAAAACTAAGTTAAACCTCACGGTACCAGAAGAGTCAGATAAACACAGGTTCGGTCTTACGCTCCCAGAAAGCAGCCCCAGGTCTCTATCCAGGGCTCAACCAGCCGGCTTGCTTCTCCCAAAAAGGCTCTTTCAAGCCATGCGGGGTCACTCTAAAACTCCTTCTGTGACTCTGAATATTACAATATTACAGCCCACTCCGTCTTTCCTGAAGGAGGTCAGGTCAGCTCTAAGAAAACCGAGACAGCAAACAATAACCCAAGCAACCCCATCCTTGGCTGTCACAAACTTCGGGGACGTTAAAAATACGGACAATAAATGTGCTAATCGCAGTCTCGGCTAGGTCTGGATGGGGACTCCCCACTGGCCAGGCTGCACATCCAGCTGAAGCTGGGCCCCACCCGCTGCGTGCCCACGGCCGCCCCCCCAGGCCCGCTGGCGCCCACGGCCACCCCCAGGCCCACCCGGGCCTCACCTGTCCTCGAAGCACACGGTGCACTTCCAGGCCCCGGTCCGATGCAGGAACACCCGGCACTGGGGGCAGACACGGTGGCTGCAGCCCTGGCACACGGCGCCACGGTTCAGCAGGGGCCCCAGCGCACGGCGGCAGCGGGCACAGGACCTCTCCTGGCACTCCCGGCCCGCAGTCTTCGCGCCTCTCCAGCGCAGGTGCTGCAGGTGTGCCTTCAGTCTCCTGCAGCCCAGAGAGTCAGGGGGCAGCGGGGTCAGGGAAGCACACACCGCCCCACGGCCTGCCGCCAGGCCCGGGGCAAGAGCAAAGGGGCTTTGTGAGCACCCCGGGGTGGCTGTGCGATCCGGGGCCCCTGGGGCAGAGGCTTCGGAGAAGAGGTCACTCGACTGGGAGACAGCTGAGGAGACCTTATCTCTAGGCGGTCACGAGGACTCAGTGGCAAAGCACCAACAACATGCCCAGAGAGGAGCAAGCTGGCTTTCTGCTCTTTGTGCCCAGAGAGAGTCTTAATGATTAGCAGGAACAGTGTGAAGGGGAAGAGAACAGAGAAGACATTGATTCTAATATGCACAGCGTGTCAAACTATAAAAGTATATCCTTGCTGGTGTCTTAAGTTACCCCGAAAAATTAGTGGCCGGCTGCTTTTGCTACGGCTCTTTTAATGAACGGTCCCTGCCTCCCGTGGACATCTCCCGTGCAGAGAAGCACTGCCTTAGAGCCCCAGAAGGCCGTCATGAGCCAGACCTCGTTCAGAAAGCGTGTCTGGCACTTTCAGGGTCTGTCCGGCCGTGGGTTCTCCTCACCGTGTCCAGGCCACCTGCTGAGGCTCCAAATGAGGCCGCTGGTCCCCAAAGGGCCAAGAATTGTCAAAGAAAATTCCCTTTTGCTCAGTGTATCCTATTTTCACATTGCTAGTTTGGGGGTAACAGGGAGCAGAGATAAAGAGCATTTTGGGTCACCAGAGAGTGCCCCTCATTCCTCCAGGATTTGGTTGTGCAGCGTTTTATTTTATAAGTGCATTTTCCTTGGCAGCCTCTGCTTAAAGATAAAACCAAACCAAGCGGCCTATGCCACTGCCTCCTAATCCTCGCATGCCCCAGAAACGAAAACAAAACCTCGCCATATTTAAAGACGGGCTGGACAGCCCACAGTGGGCATCACCTGGCACCACCCTGGGCACCATCTAGCTGAGCCTCAGCAGACATTGATACATCAACACCTGTGCACTTAGAGGGGGGCAGGGGACGAGCTCTGTGTTGACACATCAATCCAATTAGGGAACTGGCTGAGCCGGTTCGGATTTTATCCCTTTTTCCTCGAAGCCATCCAAGCAAAGAAAAAGACAGGAATGAATCCGGGACATCTGATTTTGTCAGTTGCTTTCGCTGGACCCTCACGGCTCACCAACAGTAACCCAGGAAGACCCCTCACTCGAGGTGTCTCCCTGGGGGGGGACACATAGGAAATCTGCAAGTCCCCTCATCATAGTCTCAAATTAAGCAGCTGGAACGGTAGCTAGAAAGCTGCAAATCCCAAAGGAACTGTTTACAAAGGCCAGCGCAGCCTCTGGGTCTCCCGGCCAGCTGCTGAGTTAGCCGGCAAAGGTCTCCTCCGCCCGCTTCGGCCCTCGGTCACACAGAGCGCTGGGCAATAAGTCCAGTGTGCAAGGAGCCGCAGGCCCCTGGCAGGGCAGGCCCAAGCCCCGGGGTCCCACCCGCCGAGCAGCCGGGGCCTACCGGATCCTCTCCTCCTCCACGCTTCGCACGGCCCGGTCTCGGTAGAGCACCTGCAAGATAGCCTCGCACTCCCGCTCCTGGAGGTTGTTCAGAGTCGCTTCTTGGGCCATTTCCTTTCCTCTTAGCACGGGTTGATGGCTCCGTCCCGGACCTGGCGCCGGGAAGCGTCTGGAGCAGCCTGAGCTCCAGGCTGGGTCGGCTCCCGTTTCCTCCGCCCGCCAGCCTGGGCTCTGCGGTTTGTGGCTCGCCTTGTCTCACTAATCGGGAGAAGAAAGTCCCAAGAAGCCGCAGCCCCGCTTCCCAGGGCCTCGGGCCACCCGGAGCCTCAGTCCACCTCAGCGCTGGGTCCTGCCTGCCCGGCCTCTGACATCCGGTAAGTCTATCTTTTCTGAGGTTTTGCCAGATTCTTATAAATTATGCATGACTCCAAGCTGATGCAGTGCAAGATGTCAGAAATCCCCGATCTGAGGGAACCAGTGTGCTGCGACCAGCAGAGAGCCTGGACTCACGGGATCCTCGGGCCTCACAGAAGCGCGCCTTTCCCTCACAGGCGCTGGGGTCAGCGGCGGGGCTCATTGTCGGGTCGGTGGGGACCTGTGGACCGGACACAAAGCGGCTTTATTCCCTGCCTGGCACGCCCTGGCACTACTCCAGCAAGGAGAAAATGCCCTTTGCATTTTCTGTCCTGGGGATAATGTGAGATTTTCAATTTTCTTGCATCGGCCTCCTGATACTTCTAAAAGCTTTCGACGTCCAAACTTGAGCTCTAAGTTGTGCTGTCTCTCTCCAGAGATGAGGAAGAGAAAGGTCTGTGTTTAATGTGCATCATTCTAATTACAGTGCATTAGGAGAATGATGTTCTCAGCGGTTAGCTATTACTTTTACAATTAACTTCAGAACTCAACAGATTTCAGTCTATTAGGGAGATAAGAAGGAACATCACCAGCTCCTCCGTTTATCAATAATTGATGCCTCTATCAGTTTCCCTGACTGCTATGTGCCGGGTCTTGCTACTGCGGACTGCGCATTGGAAGGGACTGTGAACGGACCCTTTCTTCTTCTGCCAGTGACCCTGGGTGCACAGTCCCTTTGATCCGCTCCTCCCCCAACCAAGAAAGATGGTGTTGCATTGATAAAGCACTGGGTAGATGAATATCAAAGAAATGCAGCAAATGCAGAAGACCAAATCAACGTACTTACCCTGAGACCATTTTGTTATCAAGCATCATCATGTGACTTCCTTTCAATGCTTTGAGGTCAAGCCCCCTCCGCTGGCTTGCAACAGAAACCCACACAGGTTAGTGTCTGAGCCACTTGCCGAGAGAGTGAGAGGTTGATGGAGTCCTAGGGGGACAGGCTCTTCAAGCAGAGCTTCTAATCTTTTGCTCTTAATATCTGGTAGTCCAGTGAAGGCTGCGTATTCAGATGCCTAAGATGAAATACATTGGTTGGGTTACAAAGGAAATCAATGACAATGAAATAGGTTGTAATTTAATACATACTATATGTTCATTGATGCATGAGAGATGACAGTGGCTACCAGCTACCATGGTTTCCAGGTACAGCGCTGAGTGCTATTTTGAGACATCCGCACCGCAGTGCAGCATGGAGCTCCCTCTGATGACATCACGTCCTGCCCCACTGGTGTCTGATGTGACAGTGTGTAATGGAAGGAAATGCTACATTTTAGTTGGCAGTGCATGAAAATAAAGATGTGGTTTTCCCCAGTCTGCATTCATGACCTCCAGGTTAAGGACCCCTGGTCAAAGGGATTCTTTCTGTTGGTCGGTTTCTATTGTAAAGAATAGTTAAAATATATTGTTCATGCAAAGTGGAGGGCTATGTGAGGACTACAGGGACCCAGGGCTGGAAAGGGATGTTCTTGGCTCTGGCCTTCAGGAAGGAATTCTCAACCTGCCCTCGGAAGGTTTCCTGCCTGGAAGGTGGGAGAATGACGTGGCCAGCACGCTGGACTTCAGCTGAGTCTGTCTGGGAACTTACCGCACCGGAAGCAGAGGCTCCACCTCCTTGCTCCCCAGCTTCCAGATCATAAGGAACTGGAAGATCTCACTTCCCTGAAACTCCCAGCCCCTGGGAAAGAGGAAAGCAGCCTGGGACAGCATGAAGCCAGGTGCTAAGAGGTAAGGCCTCGCGCCACCAGCGTGGTGAGCCCATCCCTCCTGCTTGCTCCCTCCTCGTCCCCCTCCACAGGCATTCTGTGGGGCCATATTGTTTGGTTCTCAAGAATTTTATTTATTTATTTATTTATTTTTGATTGATTAATTGATTGATTTAGACATAGAGAACCGGGGTACAGGCCAGAGGTGCAGGGATGGTGAATGGATTCACTAGAGAGCAGAACAGGCAGATCGAAGAAGCACACTGCTGAGGGGAGCAGGGGCGGGTCAGGAGAGATCTGCCGGGCCATGTGGGTCACCTTCGGGGCTGGGATCGAACTCATGCTGAAGCAGCTGCGGCCAGCTTGCAGTGCTGCGTCCTAACCCATTGCACCACCAGGGCCTATTTTTTTTTTTAAATGGGTACTTATGCCTTATATGTTCCTAGAAATCGTTATTTATGGAGATGATGAGATTGCTTTCTACACCACTGTGTACAGCAATTTCTTATAATAAAAACTAATCTCTTTTGTATTGGTAGCTAAACCTGTTACCGTCCCTAATGGGAGGTATACAGGTTTTCTTTCTTTTTTCTTTATTTACTAGCCTTCCCAAGGTTTTATCGTTTTTTTTATTGTCTTTAAAACACCTGTTCTTGAAGTTCTGTATAGTTTTTACCCCCCCCCTCAGTTTGTGTTTTATTAACATCTACTTTTGTCTTTACTCTTGTTACATTCTCTTGTTTTCTCACTTTCGCTTTTATTTATTTAGCTGCTAGCTTTATGCTTGATAGTTAATCTTCCCTGCTTTCTTTTTTTCTGTCTGTTTTAAGTTTTATGATGAGCATTCATCTTTTTCCCCAACACCATCACTTGAATCCCTTCAAATTTTTTAAATGAAGGTTTTTCACTAATTTGAAGAGGTTGATGCACACCACATTGGTTGAAGTTCTATTTACAGTATCCAAGGGTATAAACAACCTAAATGTCCCCTAACAAATAACTGGAGAAAGAACAAGTGGTCTACACACACCCGGTGGAATATTACTCAGCTACCAAAAAGGTAAATCCCTACTATTTTCAACAGTGTGGATGAAGCTGGAGGGTTACTCTGCTTAGTGAAATAAGCCAGACAGAGAAAGACAAACACTGTATAATTTCACCATCATGTGGCACACAGAGGAAAATAATGAACAGATGAGCTATATGAAACAAAAATAAACTTCTGGAGTATAAGACCAGTTAGTGGCTACTAGAAGGGAAAGGGGAGGGTGGATAAGTCCAGGAAGAGGGGGCAGTGGAGTGATGAAGGATAGAACTGCCCACTTAGCCGTGAACTTAATGTATAGGGCAAACACATGTCGATTCTCGGTATACACCGAAGCTCATAGAAAGCTAGGGCACAGTGTTACTTCAATATTTTTAAAAGTAATAAAATAAAAAAAAAACTGTTCTGCACTTTCAAGTCATGCAAGCTGTGAGATGAGTTTTCTTTCACGTGGTGCTACGTGCTCCGCTCTCTGCTCTTCAGCTCCCGTCCGGAGCAGAGCCAGAGTCGTCCTGGCTGGAAATGACACCACCAGACTCGCTCGCACATGCAGCCCTTCAGCTGGCTAAGTCAGGTGCATTTGGGGGTTCAGGATTCACATCTCAGGGAAGACGCTGAAGGCTCTATGCAGACTCAGTGGAAGTGCCCTTTCCATGGACGCTGGGAGCACGTCCGTCCCCTAGTGGCCGTTAGTCCAAGTTACAGAAAAGCCAGGTCCAGTCTTCCCCACAGCCACCGCCCAACACTCAGTAAATATTTACTGAGCACCTCCCAGGTTCAGGGCTGTTCAGGGGCTTGGGCACGCTTGACCGACGATGTCTGGCCCCTCCTCTATCTAGCCAGTATACCACAGCTTACAGTTAAAACATAAAGAACAAGTAAGTCAGAGAGACACCTGCTGCAGAGCGAAAGGCACAGGCATCTACCAGGGAGCTGTCACGTCTCCGTGCTCGGGGCGCCGAGCGTTCCACGCACATCTGACCTTCCTGGTGGCCCAGGGGAAGCAAAACAGGATGAAACGAAACAGAAAACCAAGGTGGTAGTTGTGGCTCTGATAAACCCAGAGAGAGGGGAGAACCACCTGGGGTCCCCCGGGGAAGGACATGGAGCAGAAGGAACCCCGTAGGGGAGCAGAGATTGACAGGTGCAGACTGGCTGCACACGTGGTGATGGCACCCACCGCGCATGAAAGCGAAGATGGAGTACCAAGACACTGACAGCATTTCCAACAGAGCCCCAACACGCTGCTTTCTGGAGTTCCAAATGGGCACAGGGACAGAGCTGGGGACCCAGGGGCGTGGGGGTTATTCCCTGTCCACATGCTCTGTTCTCAACTTGACTTTTGGCTTCATTCTTGATTTTTCAAAAAAGATTTATTTATGTAGGCAGACAGAACTGGGGTACAGGCCAGAGGTGCGGGGCGGTGAGAGGATTCACCAGGGGCAGAGCGGGGAGCAGAACAGGTGAACTGATGAAGTCCACTGCTGAGGGGAGCAGGTGCGGGTCAGGAGGGGTCTGCCGCGCCCTGTGGGTCAGCTTCAGGGGGATTGAATTCGTGCTGCAGCGGCTGCTGTAGCTTCACAGTGCTGAGCTTTAACCCACTGCACTTCCAGGGAGGCCCCATTCTCGATTTTGACTCTCCCAGCAACCCCCGCTCCCAAGCACTGAGTGTTCTACGCCCCATGGCTGGGCTGCAGATACTCCTGACTGTACCCACGAGGCTGTCTCCAGGTCTCTTCTAAACAAGAGGTGACTTTTCGAAACCAGGTTTGGTTCCGCAGCAAGCCGCCCCCCAGGGTCACTGGCATCAGGATTTAACAAAAATGCCAGAAGACGCCTTCTCTTGGGCGTCCCACCCGGCCTGGTGGCGTGGATGTTCCACTTGCCATGCTGGAAGCACAGGTGCTTCGTCTTCTTGGGGCACACTCAGGACCCCCAAGGGAGCAGCACCTCACTTGTGTCTGTGGCTTTGAGACCAGAGGAGAGCGTGTGGTTGTCACATTGCAGTGACCCAGAACTGACCTGAACTCCTGTTCAAGGGCTGACGACTTAGCAGGCAGATTCGGTGAGGAAAGTTAACAATTGTCCCAGGCGAGAATTCAGCTGTTAAATGACCACGAGATACATCTCACGGGGCTTTAACAAACTCTGAGTTTTGCAAAATGCATGATGGTCTAAGTGGAGGGAAGACTGTGCTTTGTTTTCTTTAGGACGGGAGGGAACAAGAACAGTTTCTTGTTTAGGTGTTGCCAGGGCAACTGCTCATCTTCTTCGGGTCGTGACGACAGGCTGCGCTTGTGACTCTCACATCCTGTGCGAAGCTACACATGCCCGTCACGCCCGCTCCCTCTACTGCTACACTGCTTAGCTCACCTGTCGTACAAGGACTCACCGTCCTTTTATTTCTGCCGGTGTCGTGGTAATGGCACTGCATCCTCATCACCACTCTTGTTAGCGTCAACCCAAGTCGGTTGCGCGCTACAGAATTCCATGTCTAGGTCACGAAGGTGTCAACTACAGCATGTTTCCCGCAGTGAGCACTGGGGTTCATGCGCTTAAGCGTCGGGAAGCAATCATTCCTCAGGACACTGCCAGTGAAATTTAAGATGCTCCTGTTTATTTTTCAACCCATGGCTGGGCTCGTAGGCGAGCGGCGGGGAGGGGTGGGGGGGTCTGGTCTGCGCACTTCGGCGACGTCCGCTTATTTGCTCTACAAGTCCAGGCCTGATTTCCAGGCTAGAACTGAGCGCTCAGTTAGCCTTTAAACAGACATTTTCCCCATTATTTGAACTGCAGCCTTTCAATCCTCTTGAACAAAACAGGCAGCCCGCTTCTGGTCGTATCCCGTTTGGGCTAGCATTTGAATTCTTACACATTGTTATCAACTGCAAACTTGAGGATTCTACTCTGACCCAAATCACTCAGGACAGTTTACTAAAACCACTCCCAGCTCCTAGTGCAGGTAGCTATGCCAGGTGCCCCTGATTTGCAACCCTTTGGGGGGTTGTTCTTTAGTGAACTTCTTAGTCGTGTGGCAGATGGCGCTAGTAAGGGGCAGAGGACTGTGGTCTAAACTCCCAGCACAGGAGAGCCCATTCCACCCTCCCCAGCACAGACGGATGTCCACCTTCACAGATTCCATTTCTGGTGCCCTGGGCTCGCCGGAAATTAGAACCCACTGGAGTACTTTTCATAGCCCGCAAACGATGGCTCGGGTGAATACCCTTCTCTTGGGGGCTTTGATGATGGTGACGCTTTGGAGTTG